TGCTTGTTTAGACTCTTGAGAATGTTGTGCTAAAGTTTAACGCTAAGAATAATGGTCTGAACCATACTGTTGGTGCTCCTCGACAAGCGCTTGGAAGTGGAGCCACACAGAGAGATATGTAAGTTCATTCTTTGCTAATGAATACAGCTGGTTTCTTTATTTGATTCCTGTACCAGAAACTCCCGATTATTCCACGGAAAAATGTTTGTTGGATTTGAACTATCTCATGCAGCTGCTCAATCTCTATACGATCGACAGAATGCTACAGCGGTGAAGGAGCCAACAGTGGTCGGAGTGAGTGTTGAATTATATCACTTTCATTTATTGTTTTCGTTTTCTTGCCAAGCTAATGTTATTTTTAGTTCTCGTACTCAGTAGGAGAGCCTAGCGATTATTCTGGATGTTGGTGGTATCAACAACCAAGACTTCACATTATTCAGTGAGTGCTTATACAACTTACGAATATTGATTTTGACCTTAGGCTTGTGTCGTACGGATCTTTGAACCCGAGTGATGTATTGCTGGTTATTCAGGTACATGACCAAGTATTTCTCCCGCGCTTTCACAGCTTACCATAAGAATAACCGTCGCCTTCCCTCAGAAGTTTATGTGTATAGATCAGGAACAAGTGAGGGGGAGTTTCCTGAGGTAATTTTTTGTGGTCATCCTCTTTAACATTGTGGTTTTCCTATCAGCCTTGTCATAACTCTTATTGTTTTGAATTTTTTTCTAGGTTGTTGAGGAAGCTAGTGAAATCCGCAAGGCTGCGGAAACAATGAGAAATCTCAATGACGGCAGGCCATACCGGCCAAAAATTACAGTTGTTGTAGCTCAGACTAATAGTAACTATAGGTAAGCTTTCTTTTACGTGCCTTACCTACCGTTTTAGCTTCAAATCATCGTCAATCCAGGATTTTGCCTGCTTCGCTACCTGCTGTTGACCCCAGGGATAGAACTCGCTACAGGGCTCAAGATCTTAATGTTCCTTCCGGAACCTGCGCGGATACGGTTATTGTTCATCCGCGATATCGAGAATTTATAATGACTTCCCAACAAGCTAATATTGTAAGTTTTCTATGGCTGGTTTGTTTGTTGTAATCGCTGATTTACAACATATGTATAGGTGTTGCCTTTCTTGGGAAAATTTCGATTTATATGTAAGATTTGGATTAACTAGTTTAGGGTACGTCAAAACCGACCAAGTACACAATCGTTGTTGAAGATGAACCACAGATCTCTAAGGTAGATGCGGAACATATTGCACATTTCCTCTGTCATGCTCACCAGGTTT